AAGACATGAAGCCACCTTCTACGGAATCAGAACCTTGGTCCATCAAGGTCAGTATTGTCTACTCAGACTGGCAGTGGCGTCTCAGGCAGAAGTCTTCCCCATCACCTCTTACCTGATCCTTTGCCCTGACCTAGATAGCCCAGGCTACCCCAATCTTGTCAGATCTTAGAAGCTTAGCTGGTATTTGCATGGGTGACCTCCAAGGAATATCAGGGGCACTATGCAGAGGCAGGCAATGGCAAACCGCCTCTGAAATGTCTCTTGCCTTAAAAAACAACAACCCAAGTCTAACTCACCACCTAGTGGTGCATAACACTAAAAGAGATAGAACTTTTGGCTGCCAGACAATCTTAGGATCTCCTGGCTATACTGCACACAATGCCATACAATAATTAATTCATTATTGACCCGACCCTTTTAACAGGAGATGCCGGGATTGAACCTGGTTCCTTCTGTATGCAAAACACAGAGCCGCAGTCTCATCCCTTCCTTTGTGTCTTACGTGCATATTTTTTATACCCTGGTATCTGCACTCAAGTACAAAAACATTGGCTCGTTTGTTTTCAAGAATTGACACCCTGCCAGCTAACCCAAAGGGTTCTCTCAGACGCTCACAACGGAAAGCCAAGATTCCACCAAGATTCAATAATTCATTACATTCCTGTTGAATAATCAGGAACAAGAGGCATTAGCCAGGAGAGCTCAGTGGAAAATCCAAATGCAGAGGCACACTGCCCAGACTTTCTGAGGGAGGATTGTTGCATACATATAGCACACACACAAGCAGAGCGTGAAAGGCATCAGTCTAGCAATACCACAGGCCAGTCTTTAATGCTTAAAAAAACCTGTTCTGGATAGATTGCCACACCTCTGTAGCCAATGGCAAGAAAATATATCCAGAGTATTGATTTTCAGTTCGTGGGTCAGGCATGGAGATCAGCATTAGGGTCTGCTGATGTTTATAGAGGGGCCACGGCGGCTCAGAGGTTAAGACGCTGAGCTTCAGACCAGGAGGTCTGTCGCTCGGCAGTTCAAGACCCGAGTGCTGCTCGAGGGAGTCTCTGGCCCCAGCTCCTGCCAGCCCTGCAGTTCGAAAGCAAGAAATTGCAAGTAGATCAATAGGTACCGCTTCAGTGGGAGGGTAACAGCGTTCCGTGCGCCTCGGTGTCTAGTCATGCCGGCCACGTGACCATGGAGAAGTCTTTGGACTCTTCGGCTTGGAAACGGAGATGAGCACTGCAACCCTAGAGTCGGATTCGACTGGCTTTGGAGCAAGGGAAACCTTCACCTTTAATGTTTATAGGCCCTGACCTGGATGGCCCAGGCTAGCAGATCTCAGAAACTGTAGTGCTTGGATGGAAGACCACCAAAGAAATCTAGGGTCACCATGCAGAGGTGGGCAAAGGCAAACCACCTCTGAACGCCTCTTGCCTTGAAGACCCCGTGGGGTCACCATAAGTCAGCTGACTCGATGGCACGTTCTACCACCAACGTCTCTAGACCAAGCTGCTGTCAAAGGCGCAAGAGGAGCAGCCAGTCTAAAAGGTGGCCTCCCCAGCTGTGGGCAGAACAAGACTTGATGGAGGACGCTGGCTTTTCAGAGCTCCCTGCAGTGGACAGGATAGACAAGTAAAACGCTGGCTGAATGGCACCTCTAAGTGGCACAGGGTGAGGACCTGGGACAGTTTCAAAGAGGATAAGGGATGAGACGACCTGGGAATGTCTGTGAGGGGAGGGAGTGAAGGAGATTGTCACACCAACCGCTCTGTGCCTTTTCTTGCAGTCCGTGGACTGGTGGAGTTTGGGCATCCTAATGTTTGAGCTGCTGACAGGCGCCTCGCCCTTCACGCTGGAGGGGGAAAAGAACTCGCAAGCTGAAGTGTCCAGGTGAGAGGGAGACTGGGTGAGACCCAGGATTATAGGTGAGGGCAGGATTCAGGGGTGATTGAAAAAGGGTGGGTCCTGGTGGGCTGAGTGAGCCAACATTACCGGAGAGGCAAAAGGCTGTTGGGTAATGCAGAGGGGGTTCAATGCCAGCTGGCTGAGGCTGATAGTCAGTTGGAAGTTTGGCAGGAGAATTAAGGCTTGATGGGTAATGTGAGAAGGCTGTCCAGAGGCAGATGGGTAACAGGGAAGTGTTTGGAAGGAGAAGCAAAGGTTGATGGGTAATGTGTGAGGGTTGACATGAGTAGGCCACAGAAATTGAAAGAAGCAAAGGTTGGTGGGTAATATGAGACGACTGGCATGAGTAGGCGGCAAAAATTGAAAGGAGAAGCAAAGGTCAATGGATAATATGGAAGGGTTGTCATTAGTAGGCTGCAGAAAGAGACAGGGTAGGATTTGGTGAGAAGGTAGTGTTGTCAGATCCAGGTTGGGAAATTCCTGGAGCTTTGGGGTTGGGCCCCGGGGGGGGGGGGACAGGGACCTCAGTGGAGTACAATGCCACAAAGTCCACCCCCCAAAGCATCCATTTTCTCCAGGGGATCTGATCTCTAAGTAAGCTGTAATTCCAGGGGATTCTCAGGTCCCTTTCTGGAGGATGGCAGAAAGGTAGAGGCTGAAGGGTATCTAGAGGATAATAGCAAGAGGTTCACAAACTGAGGGGCAGAAAGGAATGCAATCGGCTGATGTGTAGCACAGAAAGGGAAAGGTGGGGCTTCACAGAGAGGGGGCGGGGCCTAATCAGTGACGTGGCTGCATCTGATTTCCAGGCGGATCCTAAAATGCAACCCTCCGTTTCCGTCGCTCATCGGCTCCGTGGCCCGTGACCTGCTCCAGAAGCTGCTGTGCAAGGACCCCAAGAAGCGCCTGGGCTCAGGGCCCTTGGGGGCGCAGGAAATCAAGGAGCACCCCTTTTTCAGGGTGAGGCACGCACCAGTGAAAACTACCACCATCCAGCGGCTCCCTCCCCTTCCCTGGGAAAGACACACGCTCCCTCCATCCCCTACAGAGCCCCTGTGATGGCCCTTGGCAGAGCACAATGGATATTACTCGGCCTCCAGGGCCCTGTTTTTTTCTGTGCCCCCCCCCCCCCGGGTGAGGCTAAAGTGTTGCTTCATACTCATCTCTTGCCTGAATTGCAGGCGGTAACCTTTTATGTGTGTTTGGGAGAACATGACTGAAGACTTCCGTCCTGTTTTGGGGGAAGGGGTCGTAACTGGTTCTCTACCAAATGTACAGGTTGAGCAGGTAGGAAGCAAACAGGCACATGGGCAGGCAGTGCTAATTTCAGCATAACATCATTTCCCCTAGAAACCACAGCACACCCTCCCTGCCCCCCCCCCAGACACCTTTCCAACAGCCATTTCTGTAACGCTGACCTTGTTTCTGTTTTTTTCTGGCCAGATTTTAAAAAATGCACAGCTATTAATATTCAGTTCCCTTTGTCATGCTAGATTTTAAGCCCCTACTGCGTTCAAGGATTCTGGAAATAACAGCCTGACCATCAGTGTTCCCAACAACGTTCATTCAGACAAATAAAGTTTATTGAGACATTGATGCTGCAAGTATCTTAACTGTTTCGTGTTAGAACTAAAGCAAATAGATATACATAACTCAAAGGGGACCCCTGATGGCCCACAGGTAGATGGCAGGAACCCGCCAAAGTAACGGGCAACAGTTCCCAGGAGATATACTACACCAGGCACCCAAGGTCATGTAGCACAGCAGACAGATAATAAAACCAGTGAAGGCACAGCATAAACGAAAGTCACCATTCCAGAGTAACCTCCCCCCCATCTTCATGACAGCCAGGCAGGAAGCCTAGCTGACACAATGCCAATTAAGCAGGTGTCTTTAAGCTGCCAAGCTCTATGGAGTGTTAGAAAGATGGGCATCATTCCCCTTTGCACAACTTGAAGGGCTGTGATAGTGGGCAGGCGAGGGAGAACCTACCTGTCCTCACCCAATGGATTACTCTTCAACCTTCTTACTCCCCCATCACCAATACAAGCCAAATCTAAAATTTTTGCATTAGCTGTCATAGCCCCACTGTAGCTATGGGCCAGCAACACTCTCTAGACTCTGTGGAAGGGAAGCCATGACAGTTAAGCCACTTTGTGTCAGTAGCATAAGCCGGCATGCTTTAACCCAGCATCTTCTCTCCAGGGTCTGGACTGGACAGAACTAGCGGCCCGCAAGGTGAGGCCCCCCTTCAAGCCTCTCATTCGCAGCGAGCTGGATGTGCGGAACTTTGCCGAGGAATTCACCAGCCTGGAGCCCATTTACTCCCCTGCGGGGACTCCTCCCAGCCTCGACCGCGTCTTCCAGGTGGGTGCCAAAGAGGTGGAAGTCTATCCACGGGTGCCACATTTGGAACACTAGGCCCAGGGCCAGTCTCCTCCTTTCAAAGAGGTTTTTGGTGGTTTTTGGAAAAGAGCAACCAAAAGGTGAACCTCCTGACTGGGAATGTTCAGAAAAAGATGGCATAGATAAGAGTTGGGGGAAGGAGGAATAAAATGGAGAGGGGACGACGACACACCATCTTTCTGATAATACTAGACCTGGAAGACCTCAGGGTGAAGGAGATGTTCTTGCTGTGGCTCTCTCACCTGTTTCTGCCTGCCTGAAAAAGGAGGAGGCCAATCCTGGGTCTGAAGCTTGATATGAAACCAGTTCAGCCCGTGGCTGGCGACAAGCACAGGGTTATCTGCCAACACTGCTTGTGTGCCTGGAACAAACTCCTTGCTCACCCCAGTCAAGAAGCAAACATTTTATTGATCCCCCTCGTGTTTATATGTCAACTTGATTGTGGTTTTATGAAAAGGGGATTAAATTTTTATGATTGTGATTTTATTGAAAAGGGCCTTTTTAAAAAGGGAGCATATTACAGATTAGAATATCCTGCGCTCTTTTGCTTTCAAATTCAAACACGGGATCGTTGGGGGCAGTGTTTCCTCTAACTGAGTTAGTGTGAGCTAGCTCACAGTTTTTTAACCTCCGGCTCACACATTTCTGTCTTAGCTCAGGAAGGATGTGCTCCAGAGCCAACTAATTCACGCAGCAGCCAAATCGCTCACTCACAACTTTAATGCCAGTAGCTCACAAAGAAGAATTTTTGCTCACAGGACTCCACAGCTTAGAGGGGGCATTGGTTGGGGGAGGGTTTCCTTGCATGTGAAGCCACTGGAAGTCTCTGATAATTTTAGGAAGTATCTTCCAGGCACTTCCTCATATTTAGAATACAGAGTCAGAATGAAAGTGCTTTTTGGTTCTTTTCTGCTTTTGCCAGCTGCCTGCTATCTTGGCTGTGGCTTTGGAGCATCCATTTTGGTGCTTCCGCATTTCATCCTTTTCTCTGCAGTCTGTTAAGGCTGAATGTGAGTACCCTGCTTCTATGACTAAACAGCTTCCCACAGGACAAATAGCTATTCCTGGGAAGGCCAGGGGAACGGCAAAAACAGAAGAGGTTAACTTCTCCTCCCCACTGTGCAGTCGTTCCAGTCCAAACCAGAAACTCCATGGCTATTTACTGATTTTTAGAAATGATTTTTAAAAATCTCATCCAGGCCCGTAGCTACCCCCTAGCAGTTTTTAAGGGGCCCCTTCCAGAGCCTTGGCTCCCTTTCCCCACCTGGGCCCCCTCCCCTCCCCCATTGCCTGTCAGCAGGGAGGACGAGGGCAGTGACTCCAGAGCCACCAGTAGCAGCAGTGGCGTAGAGGCTGGGCTGAGAAAGCCACCGGGGCAGGCAGCAAGCATGAATGGTGGTGGGAGAAGCCTACATCTCGGGCTGCCACCAAAGACTCACTGCGCTGCCCACCAGCAGCAGGTAAAGTCCAGCCAGGCCAGGCAAGGAGGGCAGGCGGGCACCTCCTCTGACCCTGGCCAGGCATACCTAGATGCACTCTGGCACACCAATGAGCCCACACATGGCACCTTTGTTTCTAGCTTGGTTGCCGCACGTGCCCTTGACCTGGAGCCTTTGATTGAATCCGCTGGTGGGCCCCCCCAGGCCGCCTCCCCCCAAAAGGCATACCTAGATGCACTCTGGCACACCAATGAGCCCACACATGGCACCTTTGTTTCTAGCTTGGTTGCCGCACGTGCCCTTGACCTGGAGCCTTTGATTGAATCCGCTGGTGGGCCCCCCCAGGCCCCCTTCCCCCAAAATCCTTAGAATCATAGAATGTTAGAGTTGGAAGGGACCTTGCAGGTCATCTAGTCCATTCCCCTGCACTCTGCAGGAGCGTAGCCGAAAGATAGCCCTACAACATACCCGAAAGATGGTCGTCCAGCCTCCGCTTGAAAACGTCCAGCAAAGGAGCATCCACCACCTCCCGAGGCAGACTGTTCCACTGCTCAACCACTCTTACAGTTAGGAAGTTTCTCCTGATATTTAGCCAGTAACGACTCCCTTGTAATTTCCATCCATTAGATCTAGTCTTGCAATCCAGAGCAAGAGAGAATAGATCCGCTCCATCCTACATGACAGCCATTCAAATATTTGAAGACTGCAATCATGTCCCCTCTAAGCCTTCTCTTTCCCAGGCTAAACATACCCAACTCTTTCAACCTTTCCTCATAAGACTTGGATTCCAGCCCTCTCTCCATCCTGGTTGCCCTCTTCTGGACACGCTCGAGCTTGTCAACATCCTTCCTAAAATGTGGTGCCCAAAACTGGACACAGTCCTTAGCTACAGGGCTGATCTCATCTATTTTGACCCTATGTGTTCAGTAAAATCACATAGTAAGAGTCCTTCAGTTTTGTCAGTGGGGCTTGAAGAATATAATTTTTAAAAGCTTTTTCGGTTCCGATGAAAAATGACAAAAGAAAATATTGAAAATGGCCTTTTCCTTTGAACAAGGAAAGTTTGCTTCCATTTAGTACATGGTAAGTTACCTTCCACTTCCTTCAACGTATCGAAAAGATAACTGTGGCCATGGAACAAATGTAATTTGCTAACCGTATATTTAATGGTTTAAAGGAGAGATAATTAAACAAGTAAAATGTGTGTCATTGGCTAACAGTGAGAAGTTGTTGCCCTCACCTGTATAGCCCAGGCTAGCCCGATCATGTCCGATCTCAGAAGAGAAGTAGGATTGGCCCTAGTCCGTATTTGGATGAGAGACCACCAAGGAATACCAGGGCCGTGATGTGCAGGCAGGCAATGGCAAGCTGTCTCTGAACATCTCTTGCCTTGAAAACCCTACAGGATTGTCATAAGTCACCTGCGGTTTGATGGCAAAAAAAGTTGTTGTGAGCCATGCTGGTCTAAAAGAACAGTCCAAAACACACAATCCACATAATACTTTTTGTTGTGTGTTTAAAGCGCTGTCAAGTCGCAGCTGACTCGTGGCTACCCTGTAGGGATTTCAAGGCAAGAGAGGTGCAGAGGAGGTTTGCCATTGCCTGGCTCTGTGCAGCAACCCTGGACTTTCTTGTTGGTCTCTCATCCAAGTACTAACCAGGGCCGGTGTTGCTCAGCTTCCAAGCTCTGATGAGATTGTTGGCCCTTTTGTGTGTGTGTGTGTGTGTGTGTGTGTATCTGGAAGTCATGGGGCCCTGGAGAATATTCAGAGAGGTGGCTGAATAAAGTCTGCTCTTGTTCTCGCAATTGCTGGTATTTCAAGAAGGTCTCCCATCCAAGTACTTGCCAGAGTCGGCCCTGATTCGCTTCTGAGATCTGATGAGACGGGCTTGCCTGGGCTATCCAGGTCAGGGCTAGCATCCAAGCTTTTGAGTTCTCCAGAAACTCTTTGTCAGGTTGGAGGTTATAAAAAAAATTAAAAAACAGGAAAAGGAAGAAGCTTCAGGACTCGATGTAAAACCGTGGTGCAGTCTGCCATGTGCTTTCGATGTTTGATGCAGAGCTGACGTTGGTATCCAGTGACCTATTTCCTTTTAACTTGGGAGAGCATTCAAATGCATGCACCTGCACCTGAAACGGAAGGATTCTATCATACGATCTTGCCGAATGCTCCGAGGCGCATGAATCACTCTGCTTGACGACGACAACAACAACAACAGTACAGGGAACCTACTGATTTCCAAGCCCATTTTGTATTTTTAGGGATATTCCTTCATTGCTCCCTCCATCCTTTTCAACCGCAATGCTGTGACCGCTGACGTGCTCGGAGCGGCGCTGGACGGGGAGCGCCCAGGAAGTGCTGCCGTGGCCCGCAGCGCTATGATGAAGGTAATGACTCTCTAGGGTTGCCAACCTCCATGTGGGGCCTGGAGCTTTTACGACTCCTCTCCAGCTGACAGAGATCAGCTCCCCTAGAGAAAATGACTGCTTTGAAGGGTGTCAAACCTGAATGGCCTAGTGGTTTAAGAACATAAGAACATAAGAGACGCCAATGTTGGATCAGGCCAAAGGCCCATCCAGTCCAACACTCTGTGTCACACAGTGGCCAGAAATACCAGTGCCATCAGGAGGTCCAGCAGTGGGGCCAGGACATTAGAAGCCCTCCCACTGTTGACCCCCCCCCCAAGCACCAAGAAGACAGAGCATCACTTGCCCCAGAGCCCCTATCTATACCTTGTGGCTAATAGCCACTGATGGACCTCTGCTCCATATGCTTATCTAATTCCCTCTTGAAGTCGTCCATGCTTGTAGCCATGCTTGTAGCCAAATGGCTTGTAGCCAAATGGCTTGTAGCCATGCTTGGTCCCTCCCCTCCCCAAACCACACCCTCTCCCAGATTCATTCCCAAAGTTTCCAGGTATTTTCCAGTTTGGTGCCAGTTTGATGTAGCTTGGTGCCCGTTTGAGAGCCAGTTTGGTGGCTGCCTTGGCCCCCACCTGGTGGAACATGCTCCCTATTGAGATCAGGGCCCTGCAGGATCTTATTCAATTCTGCAGGGCCTGCAAGACGGAGCTGTTCCACCAGGCCTTTGGTTGAGGTGGTGGGCGTCCACATATGGCCTCCCCGAGGTTGTTGTCTCCCAGCCACTGATAACCGGCCATACTTAGCTACATCAGTGGGCCGGATTCTCCCTACGGCAAGCATGACTACTGATTTTATATGTTTTAACATGTTTTAAATTTTATTGTATTTATCGAAATGTTGTGACCTGCCCTGAGTCCGTTTACCAGATGGGTGGGATATAAATGTGAAAAATAGATAAATAAATAGGGGTTAAGAGTATGGACTCTGTTGTGTACGTGGGCCACCACGAGGGGTCCATGGCACAGGCAAGAGCTTGGATCCGAGAACAATGGAAACTTCGGATCCTAGATCTCCCAGCCCCAACCAATAGCCACTTTGGCGGGACATTCAAACCCTCCAATGGGAATGGGTGGTACTAGGTGAATACGTATATAGTTGGCCCTGTCGGGCCGTTAGTTAGTCTCTGTCTGTGTTAAGTACAGTAAACGCGTGCTGAAGCATGTCGTCGTCTGAGTCCTCCATGCGGCGAACCCAGTACTTTTCAGACTCTTATCTGGGAGAACCAAGTTTGATTCCCCACTCCTCCACATGCAGCTGCTGGTGTGACCTAGGGTCAGTCATAAGTTCTTTCAGAGCTGTTCTCTCACGAGCAGTTCTCGAGCGAGCTCTCTCAGCCCCACCTACCTCACAGGGTGTCTGTTGTGGGGAGGGGAAGGGGAAGGAGATTGTAAGCCGCTCTGAGGCTCCTTCGGGTAGTGAAGGGCGGGGTATAAATTCAATCTCTTCTTCTTTTTCAACCCAGAGTTGGCAACCCTATGATTCTCCTTGAAGGAGGGGGAAACGGGGAACTTTTACACATGAGAAGAGGCAGTTCTCAAAGCTTCAGATGTCCTTTTGGGGGACAGTTGCCAAGGGAGACACCCCCCAAGAGGCGAATTCGATTCGTAGAGCCACCCAAAGCTTATCCCAGATGATCAGTTTAAAGAATGCTCCTGCCACATTTTAAAATGTGTGGGAACTGTGCTCTAAGGTTCTAAAGTTCAGAAGCAACAGCCCTCCATATAAATCAGAGGTCCCCCGACCTTTATCAGCCAGCAAGCCGGCAAGGAGGTGAAGCCAAATGCAATACCTCCCTGCTGCCTTTGCAAAAGAATTGCAGAAGGGGAATAAAAAAGAAGTGAAATAAAGCCTGAGGGGGAAGGGGAGAGAAAGAAAAGGGGAAATAGAAAGAAGGAAAGCTTGAAGGGGAGAGGGAACTATACCGCTAAGTGCTCCTGAAAACACTTTCATTTGAATGAGGGCAACCAATAACAAGCCCTGCCTTACAATGGACCGCCCACTTTCTGAAAAGCTCAATGGGCACCAGGGGAAGTACTGGCAGGCGCCGTAGTGCCCATGGGCACCACATTGGGGAAGCCTGATATAAACCAATGAAAAGCTGCAGGGGGAAGGAATTACATACAAAGGCTGCCAGTAACAATTCCCCTTCTAGCTTTACAACACTGACTCTGCATTCTGCTTTCTAATGGTCAGTGATGAAGGAAAGGCATTAAAAGCCTTTCATTCCAGATAAACACATTTGCCCTTACGCTGCCGCTGCCATCAGACTGAGCCTTTCTTGCTTCCCTGGGCCTCCCCTGTCTGGAGCCAGCCACATAAGTATCCCCAGGAATATGCTTCAGTTCCGTGAACTATTAATTGCTTTTTATTGAAATATGGTGTGAATGCTGGTTCAGTTTTTGAAAATCCTGGCTTAATATACATCAACTATAAAATATTTTTGCATTTTACACCTGAACCAAATGTTGTACCTTTTTCTTTTATGTGTGTGTGTGTGTGTGTGTGTGCACACGCCTTCTTGTTTCTGTACAATCTGCCCTGACCACTTGCGGTAAGGTGAATTTATACACCGAGTGGCTTGTATCCTAGTATTTATTCATTTAGATATGTATCCACCTACTTTTCTCCCCAGTGGGGATCCAAAGCAGCTTACAACATTGTTTTCCCCTTCTCCATTTTATCCTTACCCTGTGAGGTAGGTTAGACAGAGAGACTGTGTCAGGCCCAAGGTCTCCCAGAAGAGTGTACATGGTAGGATTCGAACCCAGAACTCCCAGATCCTAGTCCGCCGTCCGGCACTCTAACCAGTATACCACATTGACCTGCTTTCTGCTGGTGCCTCTCTGTGTCTGTTTCAGAGGCGGTCCTTGGCTGTAGACCACAGTGCTCGAGCCATAGGCACTTTTCAGCTCTTTGAAAGACATTGGTCTTGAGTGAGCAGAAGTTTCTGACACTGAAGGAGCATGCTGCACAAGCAGAATTGAGGTTTCGGATTCAAATCAGTAAAACTAGGGATTATCAGCTGTCCCCAAGGGACCTAGTTCCTGTGCGTTTAACAGCAGCCTGAGAAATTTTCCAGCCTGGAGACAATATGCTGGGGAAAGGCATCACACACATCGTTCCTGCATGTTAGACTACAGAAGGGGGGGGGGGCAACTTTAAATAAAACCTATTTAATTCTAATGTCAGGAAAGCAGAACTGTAGGTTCTCTCCAGTCTATGTGTGTTTGTGTGTGTGTGTTCAGGAGGCATGCTCTTTCTGGGGAGAGACCCCCATGTCTCCTGTTCTGATTCCTCCTTTCTGTGTGCCCAGGATTCTTCGTTCTTCCAACAGTACGAGATGGACTTGAAAGAGTCGCCCCTGGGTGAAGGCAGCTTCTCCTTGTGCCGCCGGTGCCGCCAACGCCAAAACGGGGCTGAATTTGCCGTCAAGATCATCAGTAAAAGGTGCTTGCCCACCATCCCCTCCCCTCCACCCCACAAAGAGGACTGGTGAAATGTTTTGCTCCTTTCTGTAGTATTCTGAGGCGAAGTGTGTTATGCTGCCTTGCCTTTCTTAGCATATCCTACTTATTTTCGCTACCACCTAAGGCTCTCACCTTAGATTTCTTAGCTGAGCCCAAAGAACAGGATGGCTTAGTTATATTTGGTAGAAAGATTGGTCAGCATATGGGTGTGTCTTTGAGGTAAAGGGGGATTTTTTTATTCCAAATAAAACAGTTTTTCTTAAATATGAATAGAGTTTATTTAGAAATATAATGATTTCAGTATAGCTCATAAGCGTAATGGTTTCAGATAGGTATAGTTATTTCTGTAAGGTTCTTTAAATAGACCTAGCCACAAAGACTTATTTTCTCACTTGCCACTTAGACTAATATAGGGTTACCAGTTGTCCTCTTTTTTTTGGTGCCCGTCCTCTTTTTGGCTTTTTAAAAAAAACTGATGAAAATGTCCTCTTTTTGGGTTGGAAGGTTAGGAATATTCCTAGTTAGTAGCAATGATCACAACTTAAATAGTAGGGGTATTTGAAATGAGATTTGTCATAGTGATCACTTGTTTGAAGTAGTCAGTTGGGAAACAGGTCCTCTTTTTTGCTTTTCAAAATATGGTAACCCTAGCTAATAGCTTCCACAAAGTTTAATTTTCTAACTTGCCACTTAGGCTAATCACTTCCTCAAAGAACACGGAGTCCGATTCCCCACAAGCAGCTCTTCCATTTGCCCCGGTTGCAATGGTCAGTTTCACACTATTTGCTGCGTGGCCGCATTTTGACCCACATCTCCCCCGATTTCCCCCATGTCTCCTCAACCTCAAAAAACAAGGATCGAGAAGATGCGGGGGAAATCAGGGGGAGATGCAGGTCAAAATGCGGCCCTGCAGCAAATACTGTGAAATTGATCAATGCAGCCGGGGAAACGGAACAGTGAGGGTGGCACAGCTGCTTGTGGGGAATCGGTAAGATTCTTTACACTCTCCACAGAACTTTCCTGCACACACTTTGGACTCTGTCTCTCTCCAAACCAGTCAATTCTGCCCCCTAGGGTACAGCTACCATCCAATCATAACACACTTCCGTCACCCATCCAGCCCCCCCTCTTTCTTACTCTAGAGGGCTGCCTTTTAAACCACAGCAACATACATATAAAGTCCCCCATTAAAACACTGAAATAAAATACACATACTATATTTACATATCAAAACACCACAGCCACGTTGGGAGTAACGTTCCCTCTAAGCTGTGGAGTCTTGTGAGCAAAAATTCTACTTTGTGAGCTACTGGCATTAAAGTTGTGAGTGAGCGATTTGGCTACTGCATAAATTAGTTTGTTCTGGAGCCCTCCTTCCTGAGCTGAGACAAAAACGTGTGAGCCGGAGGCTAAAAAACTGTGAGCTAGCTCACGCTAACTCAGTTTAGAGGGAACACTGGTTGGCAGCCAATCAGAACTCCAGAGAAGTCAGGGGAAATGCAAGGCACCAGCTAACCCGCGTGTCTTTAAAGGAAGTGCATCATTTGAACCAGACAGAAATGATGTGCATATGTTTTGTGTCCCTGGAACTTTGCACAGAGGATAGCAGTTAAGTGGGTGAAGCCTCTCCCTTTCTACCTAAAGGAGCAGGATTTTTCGCTGCTGGGGTGGGCCCCCAACTTCACTGCTCCCCCCACCCCAGTACCGCAAAGACGGTGGGTTGGATCCAAGCTAACCTTCCCATCGTTGTAACGGAACTTTCCTCCCCCTCACTGATGCCCACTGACCTCCATGGAATACAGCTCCTGGGGAGATAAGGAACCCAGAGGAACGACACGGCGGGGGGGGGAGTCTGCAGGGGACAGGACAGATAGGGTTGCCAACTTCCAGGTGGTATATATAATCCAGAGAGATCCACGGGAACAAGATATTTTACAAAACCCCAAAATCCGTGAAATTATAACGATGGCAACCTTGATACGTCAATACTTTCTTATTATAGTGCTTATTTCTCTACAACAGTACATCTCTTAGTCACAATAAATAATTCATTATCATCCTCAATAGACCATGAATTATTTACCGTGACTAAGAGATGTACTGTTGTAAGCGATATATTGCACTATAATAAGACGATATTGAAGTATCAAGGTTGTCATAGTTATAATTTCACATATTTTTACATTAAACCTCCAGGTGGTAGCTGGAGATTTCCTAGGATCACAACTGATCTCCAGGCGACAGAGACCAGTTCCCCTGGGGAAAATGGCTGCTCTGGAAGGTGGACTCTATGGCACTATACTCCACCGAAGTCCCTCCCCTCCCCAAACCCCGCCCTCCTCAGGCTCCACCCCCAAAATCTCCAGGTGTTTCTCAGCCAGGAGCTGGCAACGCTGAGGGAGAACTGATGAAAATTGCCAGCTTGGTCGGCATCCAGCCTGCGGCATTTGAGTACGGGCTGTTCCTTTGCATGTCATTAACCACCCCTTCAACCCTGATCCAGGATGGAGATGAATACGCAGCGGGAAGTGGCTGCCCTGCAGATCTGCGAAGCCCATCCAAACATCGTCAAGTTACATGACGTCCATCATGACCAGGTAACGCATTTGCTTCTTCCCCCCCCCCCCCCCAAGGGAGATTGCATCTCGCAGGTACATGACAGATCATGCTATTTGGGCCAAGCCGGGGCCATGGGTACTTGAATCCACACACGCAGGATGGGTATCTTTTCCAACCCAGGGTCTCCACGGTCCACTTCTAGACTTAAGGTGGAAGCAAGGAGGCAGACAGAAGAAATTACTTTGTTTTTTTAAATTTTGTTTTATTTGCTTTATTTATTGAGAGCCAGTTTTGGTACAGTGGTTAAGTACGTGGACTCTAATCTGGGAGAACTGGGTTTGATTCCCCACTCCTCCACTGGCAGCTGTTGGATGACCTTGGGCAAGCCACAGTTCTCTCAGAGCTGTTCTCTCAGAGCTCTCTCAGCCCCACCTACCTCACAGGGTGTCTGTTGTGGGGAGGGGAAGGGAAAGGAGATTGTAAGCCGCTCTGAGACTCTGAGTGAAGGGCGGGGTATAAATCCAGTCTCCTCCTCTTTCTATTCCACATTTCTCCCCAATGGGGACCTGTAGTGGCTTTTTTTTGTCTTCTCTCCCGGTTAGGCTGACAGTGTATCCCCACAACAACCCTGTGAGGTAGGTTAGGCTGACAGTGTATCCCCACAACAACCCTGTGAGGTAGGTTAGGCTGACAGTGTATCCCCACAACAACCCTGTGAGGTAGGTTAGGCTGACAGTGTATCCCCACAACAACCCTGTGAGGTAGGTTAGGCTGACAGTGTATCCCCACAACAACCCTGTGAGGTAGGTTAGGCTGAAAGTGTGTGAGCAGCCCAAGGTCACCCAGCAAGCTTCCATGGCACGAGTAGGGATTCGAACATGGCTTTCCAAGATCTTAGTCCAACACTTTAACCACTGTACCCTGCTGGATCTCTGGGCAAGGACTCCATCCTACCTGCCATTTGTAACGGCCACTATTCCATACTCCTGTCCCCTTCTGTGCCTCGTGCTGTTACCTGCCCTGAGCCCACAACGTGGGGAGGGTGGGCTATAACTCTAGTGAGATAAATAAAAATAAATAAACCTGAGGATGTACAGTCCAGGTAGTTCCTTAGGCTAATTCCGTGCCTCAGCCCTTGAATTTTTGGGGTTCGCTCTTCTCAGTTATTTGCACCTCCCCTCCCCCACAGTACCACACGTATCTGGTGATGGAATTGCTCCGGGGTGGGGAACTCTTTGACCGCATCAAGAAGAAGCAACACTTCAGTGAATCAGAAGCCAGCCAGATCATGCGCAGCCTCGTTTCTGCCGTCAGCTTCATGCACGATGCCGGCGTGGTGCACCGTACCTCAAACCTGAGGTACTGGGGGGGGTGTGGAAGGAGGGAGGGCAAACAGAGGAGTGAATGTGCAGAATGCCTCTGAAGAGCGTGGGGAAACATCAGCGTTGGTTCCAGGTTTGGCGGGCGCTGGGAAGAAAGTGCTTGGGAGCCCCAGCCAGAGAGTGCGTAGGCCCTCTACCCTGCCCGCCACTGTGCCCCTCTTCCCGCTTAGCTGCCCACATGCCCTCCAACCAGCCTTCTGGGCCTCTTTCCCCACCAGCTCACTCCCATGCAAGCCCTTCTAGCCACATACGCCATATAACACACCATGGGTGCGTTCAGACGGGGGCTTTATACCGGTTAGGGTGCCGGTTCCAACTGTTGTACTCACCGGCGTTCAGACGGGGCACATCTGCCTCCTCTCCCTAACCGGTGTGAAGCCCTTTAAACCGTTGCCCTCTGCTACCAGGTCCCCAAGTGGTGGTATACAGAGTGCAACGGTTGTAAACGGTGCACCCTGGGGTCTGATCGCTCTCCACCGTTCCCCAGCTACTTCCGTCGGAAGCCTGAGGCTTCCGGCTTTCCCCGGCCATTTTTTTTTTAACTTAGCGATATGCGCTCGGGCGAAGCTTCGCCCTGAGCATTTGTTAAAAAATTTTTTTAAAGCCCTTACTTTAAGTACCCGGAGGAGTCCGGGACTACAGGGAGGCCAGGTTGGGCTTTAAACTTTAAAGCTAAGTCCTTACCTTTAAAGTTTAAATGTAATGGGGGGGGGGTGAGCATGCGCAAAGATCGCCATTCTGTGAATGGCTGCCTATGCGCATGCTCAAACTGTGCTTTAAAAAAAAAAAAACCGCCGACACCCGCAGCGTGTGAGCGAGCGTCCAACGGAGGGATCTGGAAGATGGAGGTAAGTGTGATCGCGTTTCTGCCGGCATAAACGCCCCGTCTGAATGCACCCCATGTGTGCCATAGGACACGACTGGCAGGAGAGTTTGCCAGAGGGCAAGCAGAAGGGCATGTGGGCAGTGGGGAGGTTCAGAGGGGACTGGCAGCAATAGGCCCCACTACATGCCCTGGGCCCTGGCATTTGCCCCACTTGGGAGTATGATGACGCCAGCCCTGTGGGACTATGCTGCCTTAACCCACTACACAGTGAAGGAGGAGTCTTCCTCGAGCAGAGGAAATGCCATGGTTTTGTAGCGTTAGGGTAGACGGGCCGTGACCTCAAGGAACAGAGGAAGGGTCACCAACCTGGCCTGGGCTTAAGGGGCATTGTGCCCTTGTGGTACAAGGAGAAGCACTGCTGCTAAGCCTCAGGGGCGAACATATGAATCCGCCTTATATAATGAGTCCATCCCCCACTTCCTGGCTCCTTTAGCTGGAGAGGCCAGGGATTGAACCTGGAGCCTTTTGCATACGAAGCAGATGCTCTGCCCCTGAGCCACAGAACCTCCCCTGGATGTTCGCTCATTCAGGTATCACATTTTGCATCCTATCCTTCTTCCATAATGTTCAGGATAGTTCACATGAAGGCATCCCATTTTAGCCTCAGCCCAATTTCATATTTTTTTAAAGTTCATTTATATCTTGCCTTTCTCCACAGTGGGGATCCAGAGTAGCTTGCATCTTTCTCTCCTCCATTTTTTTTTTTTTCTGAGTCAGGATGGCGACTGGCCCAGGGGAGCTTTGCAGCTCTGTAAAGATCTGAACCCAGGTCTTTCCTGCTCCAGTTACTACAGTGCAGTTGCCTAATACCTTGTACAATTCCGGTCATCCTGGATATTGTAGAGCTGGGGGAAGGTGCAGAAAAAGGCAACCAAAATGATCAAGAAGTTGGAGCATACTTTCCCTGGCCGAAGGAAAGACTGAAGAAACTGGCGCTTTTCCATTTAGAAAAATCACAATTAAGGAAGGATACAGTCAGGGGTTTATAAAATTATTCATGGTGTGGAGAAAGTAGACACAGAGACCTACTTAAATCTTTTCCATAATACTAGAATGCGGGTTCACCCAATGAAGTAGATGGGCAGCAGATTAAGGACCGAACAGAATGTCCTTCTTCACACGATGTGTAATTAAATCTATGCAGTTCCCTGCCGTAAGGTGTAAGTGAGTAGGTGAGCTGGCTTTGAAAGGAGATTAGAGAAATTCATGGGGGAGGTCTGTCAGTGAGTGAACCTCCATATTCAGAAACTGTTTACCCCTGAATACCAGTTGCTTCAAGAGACAACAACTGTGGGAGAGTTTGGCTTCCGCGCCCTGGCAGTAGGTTGTCTGGGGTCATTCGTGAGAATCAGGCCTTTGGTCTGATCCATCCGGGTTGTTACAACCACTGTTCCCTCTAAGCTGAGTGAGTGTGAGCTGGTTCACAGTTTTTTAGCCTCCGGCTCACACATTTTTGTCTTAGCGCAGGAAGGATGGGCTCCAGAGCAAACTAATCTATGCAGCAGCCAGATCGCTCGCTCACAACTTTAATGCCGGGAGCTCACAAAGTAGGATTTTTGCTCACAAAACTCCACAGCTTAGAGGGAGCATTGGTCCAGGGCTCTTTTTGTAGAAAAAGCCCAGCAGGAACTCATTAGCATAATAGGCCACACCCAACAACAGGAACTCATTAGCATATTGGGCCACACCCCTGACAGCACAGCTCATTAGCACATTAGACCACACCCCTATGTTATCAGAAGTGTAGTTATCCAGGCACATCCACCTTTTGCTTGTTATTCTGTTTACCTTGTTTGTTGTCAAAACCCAGGGCTTTTTTTGTAGCAGGAACTCCTTTGCATGTTAGGCCACACACCCCTAATGTAGCTAATCCTAATGAGTTTCTGCTGTTGGGTGTGGCCTATTATGCTAATGAGTTCCTGCTGGGCGTGGCCAACTTGGGAGCCAGCCGGAACTCCGTTCCTGTGCGTTCCTGCCCCAAAATAGCCTGGTTACCACACTTCAGACTCTGATTCATGCTGCCTTTTGCACAGACAGGTGCTTTGACTGATTGTGCAAAATCAGGAGCTTCAAGACAGTCAGGGCACAGGAGAAGCAGCAGGGGTGGGTAGGGCAGGGCGTGACAGAGGTAAAGATAAGTTATCTAGCCAGAACACGTTGACTGGGCGTACCACTGCCTTTGACTGTGTCCCACTCCTAGAACATCCTGTATGCAGACGAGTCAGAAGGAGCCCCCGTGAAAGTGATCGACTTTGGCTTCGCTCGCCTGCGGCCCCAGAACTCGCAGCCCATGCAGACGCCCTGCTTCACTTTGCAGTATGCCGCACCTGAGCTCTTGCAGGACGGGGGTTACGACGAGTCCTGCGACCTCTGGAGCCTGGGTGTTATCTTGGTAGGTGTCCCCGGGGGACAATGGCCCTCGTTCCGTTCCTGGCCTCCTTCCTTCCTTCCGAGGCCTTCTGCGTCACGGTTCTTGCCTCTCCCTAAATGGGACCCTAGCTTCCTTCCCTCCGGGACTATGGCAGTCACTCCACCACTTGCTTACCCGTTTGCGGCCCATCCTTCACCAAAACATGTGGGCCGGAGCCTCGTGTAATCTTTTTCGGACCTGGATAGGCCCAGACTAGCCCAATCCCATCAGATCTCGAGTTTATGTGTCCAACAGCAGCATTGGGCCTGGTTTTGTACTTGGACGGGAGGCCTCCAAGGAAGTCGAGGGTTGCTGTAAGGAGGCAGGCACTGGCAAGCCACTTCTGTTCACCTCTTGCCTTGGAAACCCCACGAGGGGGTCATGACTGCACTTTGTATCATGTATTATTTCGATTCCTCCATGTCCTTCAGGGGCAGTTTCCATCTACCGTGATTTTACATTTTAAAACAGGGGGGGGGAAGCCTAAGGAAAGAGCTTGCCTCTAACGTAAGAATTTAACCATCCCGCGTCACGAACCCCCAAACAATCTGCGGCAGGAAGCCAAACCATAACTGGCGGTTCTGGTAGATGAAGGCTTGCCCTGTCTTTGCCCTCCCTTCTGGTGAGAGTGTTTTTGTCTGCGCCTACAAGAAGGTTAGGAGCTGCGGTGGCTCAAGTGGTTAAGACGCTGAACTGCAGGCTGTGGAAGGTCAGTAGTTCAGCAGTTCGAGACCCGAGTGTGCCGCATGACGGAGTGAGCTCCCGTCTCTGGCCCCAGCTCCTGCCAACCTAGCAGTTCGAAAGCAAGAAATTGCAAGTAGATAAATAGGTACCACTTCGGTGGGAAGGTGACAGCGTTCCGTACGCCTTGGTGTTTAGTCATGCCGGCCACATGACCACGGAAACGTCTTCGGACAGCGCTGGCTCTTCGGCTTTGAAACGGAGATGAGCACCGCAACACTAGAGTCGGATCCGACTGGCTTTCGAGCAAGGGAAACCTTTACTTTTACCTTTACAAGAAGGTTAGAGCTTCACAACGATCTTGGGAAGTGAGGCCAGCTTGAGATAAAGTGCCACACTTCCTTCAGTGCTGCCAGGGCACTTTCGGGAAACAAGGGGAACCATCTTGGCTGCGTGAAAACCTTGTTTGTGTGTGTGTTGCCCCCCCCCGCTCCCCCCAGCTTAATTTTTCGCTTTTCTTTTTCTCCTCCACTCCAGTACACCATGCTATCCGGGCAGGTCCCCTTCCACAGCAACCAGGAAGGGAGCGCGGCGAACCACGCGGCCGAGATCATGCACAAGATCAAGGAGGGGCAATTCTCCCTGGAGGGCGAGGCCTGGAAGAACGTATCTGAGGAAGCCAAGGAGCTGGTTAGAGGTGAAGGGGGGTGCATAACAGACCCTCGGGGAAGGCTGGGGGCCAGAGTGAGAAGTGCCAGGCTCGGAGATGGGTGGTGGTGGTGGAGAGATTATTTATTATTATTTGTTTAGTACTTTTTTTAGACTGCCACCAAAGAGCTCAGGGATTAAGGAGGACAGGTATACCCAGGCCCGTAGCTACAGTGTCATGCCCCCCCGACTTACTGCCAAGGCTCCCCTGACTTCAGGGCCCCCCCCCCGACTTCCAATTTTTTTAAAAAATTGTGGTGCTCCCTTGGTGTTTGTGTGCAAGGTGCCCCCCAACTTATTTAAAGCCCCCCCCCATTCAAAACTCCTGGCTACGGGCTTGGATATACCTTATTCTCCCCTCCTCCTTTTTATCGTCACACCAATCCGTGGGTTATGCTGAGAGAGAGAGAGAGCGACTGCCCTGAACTCACCCAGTGAACTTTGTGCCACAGTGGGATTTGAACCTGGGACACCCAGATTCTAGCCCAGTGCTCTAATTGCTGCACCAAGCTTACTCCCGAGACTGTCCCCATGGAAAGGGCTCAGTGTTTTGTTCTCGGGATTTTGAGGAGGCTGGAAGACCTCGGTTTTGGGTTGAGAAGACCCCCATGTGGTCATGGACACATAAACTCAAATACTGAGATTTGACAGATGGTCTGTAAGTAGAGCCCTTTTTTAAAAAAAGAACCAGTGAGAATTCTACACCCATAAACATGTGACAGGAAGGGGCGTATCTCAGTGGTAGAGCAACTGCCTTTGATAGCAGAAAGTCTCGGATTCACTACTTGGCATCTCCCAAGGAGGGGGATCCGGGGTGGGGGTGGAGAAGCCATTCTCTGTCTGAGGCCCTGGAGAGCCATCTGCCGTCAGGGTAGCCAATACTGAGCAAGACAATCCAATGCCCTCACTCGTTATAAGGCAGCTGCATCTCTTCATAAGAATTTTGCAGCCTGCCTACATAAAAGAGCTCTGCACCTGTTTGCTTGTTTTGCATAATTTATCCTGCCTCGTTCAGGCTTGGGGGAGGGGGAGTTGGGGGGATATCAGCAAATTCAGTGCGTGTTCTCCCACCACCACCACCATTTTTCTTTCGGCACATGCAATTCCAAAGTCATCTGTAGAACTTACTTTTTGATACACCGAAGCCTGAGCTCTTTTGCTTCCATATACATAGGGGAGATAAGGATAAGAGAGGTAGATTTCTGCTCAGCCTTCTCTGAAAAGAAAAAAGGGCAAAGACACGAGGGTCACTGGCAAGCCCCTGAACAGCTGGATTTGATTCCAGGCACATCTCAGAGACCAACAAGATTTTGGGGGTAGAAGCTTTCAAGCGTCAAGGCTCCCTTCGTCAGATAAATGACCTCTGACTCTCAAAAGCTTATTCCCCGAAAATCTTGTCGTTCCCTAAGGTGTTGTTGGACAGGAATCCAGCTGTTCTGAACATATGAAGCTGCCTTATGCTGAATCAGACCGTCGGTCCATCGCAGTTGGTATTGTCTACTCAGACTGAGAGTGGCTCTCTGGCAGAGGTCTTAGAACATAAGAACATAAGAGATGCCAATGTTGGATCAGGCCAAAGGCCCATCCAGTCCAACACTCTGTATCCCACAGTGGCCAGAAATACCAGTGCCATCAGGAGGTCCACCAGTGGGGCCAGGACATTAGAAGCCCTCCCACTGTTGACCCCCCCCAAGCACCAAGATGACAGAGCATCACTTGCCCCAGAGTCCCTATCTATACCTTGTGGCTAATAGCCACTGATGGACCTCTGCTCCATATGCTTATCTAATTCCCTCTTGAAGCCGTCCATGCTTGTAGCTGCCACCACTTCCTGTGGCAGTGAATTCCAAGTGTTAATCACTCTTTGGGTGAAGAAGTACTTCCTTTTATCCGTTCTAACCCGACCGCTCAGCAATTTCATGGAGTGCCCACGGGTTCTTGTATTGTCAGAAAGGGAGAAAAGTACCTCTTTCTCTACCTGCTCTTTCCCATGCATAATCTTATAAACCTCAATCATGTCACCCCTCAGTCGTCGTTTCTCCAAGCTAAAGAGCCCTAAGCGCCTTAACCGTTCCTCATAGGGAAAGTGTTCCAACCCTTTTATCATTCGAGTTGCTCTTTTCTGCACTTTTTCCAAAGCTATAATATCCTTTTTAAGGTGTGGTGACCAGAATTGCACACAGTATTCCAGATGAGGTCGCACCATTGATTTATATAGCGGCATTATGATATTGGCTGATCTGTTTACAATACCCTTCCTAATAATCCCCAGCATAGCATT